CCCAGCCTTCTGACCATGGCTGGGAGGATGGCAGATGTGGACAGAGCTGCAGCTCGGCTGTGTGAACAGCCCCTCTGTGAGCGGAGCACAGGAGCGGCGCCCACCCCCTCAGGGACTGGCACTCCAGGTTCTGGGGAACTAGGCCCAATCTGCGAGCAAACAGCCCCTCAAAGCCCCCAGTGGGCATCGGCCGCACCAAGTCTTCCGCAGGGCCGGGCCGGGCAGGGCGTGCCCACAGCGCAGCACGGGCCCAGGCGGGCTGCAGGACGCTGCCGCTGAAAGCTGTGGCAGTGCCCGTCAGTCTCATGGGCGGGGGAGGCACAGACACCACTGAGCCCTTACACTGCCTCTGAGCCCCCCGGCCATCAGGGACAGCAGACAGCTAGGAGCCTCTCCTGCGGGAGTGGACTCCACACAGACACCTCCGCACCTGCAGTGGCTAGCGGCAGCGTGTTTTGTCAGAGTTCTCCAGGAGACCCCACCAGGACCCTCTGCAGGCAAAGGAGGCAAACACGCCATGAGCGCTCTGCTCTGGTCAGCCTACGGGTCTTCAGGCCCCAAGGTGAGCCCGGAGACTATAGGATCCTCCCCTGGGGGACACGGCGACATGCCAGGGGCTGGGCAAGGCGATGCTCAGCGGCGCTGACCGGCCGAGCCCCTCCAGCCCCCCAGCTAGACGCGGAAGGAGGCGCTGCAGCTTCCGCGGAAAGAAAGCTCAGCAGCAAAGCAGATGGAGCCTCGCACTCACGCACTGCGCCTCCAACTCCGGGGCCTCCCCCAACGGCTCTGCGTCCTGCCCTGCTGACCACCCTGGCAGGGCACCCCTGACCCACCCCACTCCCCTCTATGTCAGCAGCCCCGGCCCTTCTCCAGCCGGACCGAGTCAGCACCTGCCTGCCCGCAGACCGAGTGCGAGCCCGGCCGGCCGGGCCCTCTAAACCTGCAAGGAAGGGGCAGGTCCTAGTCCCCCGCCCCCCAGAAGCCCCGCGGTGCCAATCCTCCACCCTGTGCAGTGGCTGGCGCCTGCCACCTGGCGGCGGCGAGGGGCACTGCACGCACGCGGGTGCCCTGACGGCCTTCGGGCTAGCAGGGCGGTGCAGCTCGGTGAGTGGCCACCGAAGGTCCGGCAGAAACCAGGGGGCACCACGCCCATCTGGTGACAAGATTCCAAGCCAGACTGTCCCCGCGTCCCCCCGCCGGCGCCGTGGCGCGGGCACTCACGCTGGTAGTGCTGCAGCAGCCGGTGGGTCCGCACGTCCCACACCTTCACCGTGTTGTCCATGCCGCCCGCGGCGATGCTCGTCCCGCTCGGGTGGAAGTCCACGGAGGTGACGAAGCTGGGG